CCTTTATAAAGGGCATGGAAAAATGGAGTTAAACTATCATGAAATTTTTCCAGAAACTTTTGAAGCCTCTTTGTATTTCACCTTCCTTGACTCAAGTGCCCTTCACTAGTGTGTTGGCTTCTCCATAATCTCCCATTGTTTTGTTGTATTTAAGAAATGCTCCAAGGTGACATTACTACTTCAGCTGGATTGCATTTCATGGCTGCTGTAAGGAAGAAAGCAACAGAAAGTCAGGATGCAAGTACAAATACGGACCCAGGTAACAAGGCTGTTTTCTTTAGTTAAAAAGTATTTTTGCAATATTTAAGATAGACTTTTTCCTTTAAGCCAGTACTTCAAAGGGAGTTTTTAACTTTATGGTATTAGTAACTCATCCCAGGTTATTGTCCTCAATCCTGGTATACACTTGGGAAATTTTTCATTTTAAATTAAGTTTAATCTTAACTGAAGTAAAACATAGAGACTTTTTGTTCAAAATGCCATAGAAAACATTGTCAGCAAAATGGAAATAATATTTTGAATTTGGATTCTCTGTCCCATAACTTGCTTGCACTGGGATTGGCAGCCTCCACTGGAGAGGCCTGAGGCTGTGGCTAGTAAAATGCAGCTAGGAAGAAAGTTCCATTGGGTTCAGTGTAGGTTAACTGTGTCTGAAGGAGAAGATCTACAAGTAAGTTTTAGAGGCTGTATTACTGGGGGATTTCCCTGACCTGTTTTAAAGTGCTGTTAAGTCGGTTCTGACTCATAATGACCCTGTATAGGGTTTTTGAGGAGTGGCTAGTGAGTTTGAACCACTGACCTTGCTGTTCAAACCGACCTTGTTTTCCAGTGTTTATCTTACAGCACCATACCAGGACTCCTTCCCTGACCTACCACCTCCTCAGTGTATTTAATCATGTGGACACTGGGCAGCATCTTCAGTGCTCTGCTCATTGGGTCTTACTGTTTAGTAAACAATTGCTCTTAATTATGTATGGGACTTACAATGCTTTTTAAGATCTCTCATGGTACTGTATTATAAAATGTTTGCTGGTATGTTTTTTTTAAAATCTGTGATCATCATAGAACATTTGGATCATAGAATATAAGATGAAAAGTAACGACAATTACACTTCCTAAAATTGTTTTTTCTTTCACTCTTTGTGTTTTACATAGTTACACATGGTAAATCATACATGTGTTCCTCACAGTGTGAATTCTCATCTTCCAGATATTATTGCCATCTTCCCTAGATTATCTCTAAAAGTTTAACCCTTTATGGGTTCCAGTGTTTTAATATCTTTATTATAATTCTTGGTTGACTTACATTATAATACATTTGCTGCATTGTTGAAGGTAATTCATATCTGATATGTTCAGTATTATTGCATATGCACACAAACTAATGAGGTAAGTGAATGTTAATTAACTCATGTTTAAAGTGCTTTATCTTATGTAGCAATTCTTGGTGGATTGTTATTACACTGCTCAAGAATAGTTGAATATTTTGGAAAATGGATGAACTGAGACAACTTCATTTTTTAAATAAATAATGGCAACATCTTCTGGTATCTGAAAATTCACTATTCAGTACACTTTCAGGAGTGGGTAAGATTTGAAAAAGGATGCCTGTATTTTGTATCCTTTGCTTTACATTTTTACTTCTATTTATGCAAGACATTTCTCTGTATCATCAAAAAGTACTTTGCGCCCTCATGGTTCCATTTTGAGTTAAGCAGTAGATAAGTATAGAGTGGGGACAATAACATTAGTAAGGTATGCTTCCCCATGGAATAGTCAATCGTTTGAGATCCAAAGGGCAACATTTACCTAAGGACAAACTTGAGAAGGGTGGGGAAAGGAGGGGTATAATGGAAATAGGAACCATAGAAGGAAGCGGGGTAACTATTGTTGCATGGAGGGATTGCAATCATTGAGATGAAACAAAGTGTATGATTTGTTGAATATGTTTTCTATAGACCTTCACTCAATGCACAATAAAAAGTTAAGAAAAAAAAAAAGTACTTTGTAAGTGTATAGCTTCTACTACTTGTGCTACAAAATATTTGTTTCTACTGTTCAACATAGTAGGCAGGTCACAGCTTTTGTTTTCTCCTCCTATAGATAATGCTTCAGTGAGTATTTTCCTACATAAGAGCCTTTTATTTTCATCACTATATGGTTTTTATTGTTGTTGTTAGGTGCCATTGAGTCAACACCGACCCTTAGCGACCCTATGCACAACAGAATAAAACACTGCCTGATCCTGG